ATTGTCAAATGATCCGAGTTGGTCGTAGATGATAAATAAAGAGAGCGTGGTGCGTTGTCAACTCAACGCGCGCGGCCCGAATCGATACCCGTCCGTTTCGTTTGTCCTCCGTAGCCGAGTTCAGGAGCCGCGTTCAAGGACAAGGCCAAGCGCGCCACAAACGCCGCACGGTCGCGGTCGCGACTCATCATAACCGCGCTAACGCTCTCCCGTTCGCCACGCTGTGCTATCGTTCTCTTCGCTCGTTCGCCCAAACCTTCTCGTTTCGTTTCGGGTTGTCCGCGACGAAGTAATATCAGACAACGGACGAAACGGGGTTGCGACGATTAAGTGGTGCATATTGTGCCAGACAGACGGGTGCAGCGGCGCACGCGTACACCCCGCGCGCGCCCTTACAACCACCGTTGCACTTCGAATTTCACTTTCGTTCGGGCGCCAGCCAGTGCCATCGGCATCACAAGTATTCGGCAGCGACCAAACCGGTCACTGAACACTCTCACTGGCACACTTATTACAAGTCGCAGTCGACTAACTAATTTTAGTAGTGACTTCTCCTCCCACGCTAACTGCCTATAGTAACTTTTTTTTATCGAATTCCGACAAGCGGACGGGAGTCCTGTTGTCTGCCAGCTTTCGCGAAATGCTGGATTAACTGTGTCACTAGTCGAACTTCCTGTATTGAAATATTTACAAGATGCAAACGACTACGATTGTTTTGAAATCGGAATTTCGGGCGCCGCCACCGACGTCGTCGGTCGTGTCGTCGTCGACGTCTTCTCCGTCGGCTGTTATGAGACCACCCCCTCCCCCACCTCCCCCAAGGTCAAAATCGAACGAAATTAAAAGCGAACGTGTTACTCACGAAGAACCGACAAGTTCGATTCCTGATTTAGGTGAGTGATTATTATTTTACGATTCGTTGCTTTTTGAATATTACGTTATCAATATATGTGTACATTTATATAATAGAATTAATTACCTATTGTATTGTTTTGAATATTAATGTATAACTGTTTTCGGTGTTTGCGTGTTGTTTGTGGAAACATGCACGTCATCGAACTGTCAATGAATGCACTAGGACGGTTTTGTTTGTAAACAAACCGGACTGTGCCACTTATATACACGTATGTAGGAATATAAAACAGCAGGCGTGTAGTATGTAGCTGGCGAGTTCATTATTTAGAATTGCTCGGTATTACAATATTTTTTATGCACACTGCCATAATACGAAATCGCAATTGTTCTAATGAGGATAATAAAAATTGCCCGATAATTGAATGGAACAGTGAAGAAATAAAAAAAAACAAACAAACCACAAACAAAAAAGATAAAAGTAGAAATTCATGAAATATTGAACTTGAATATAAACGAGTACTAGGCACTGCGATTACGAAAATTGCCTCGATTACTTGATAAGATTATTATTCTCATCATTATTCTAAGGCTGTTTGTTTATTTATTGTAAAAAAATTAGGTTGTTTTAGGATTTGCTAAAATTTACAAAAATTTTTAACACTAGCGAAATATGTTTTACATTTTACTAAATATTAATGTGAAAATTAATTTTTAATGTTTTACCCACCATAAACTACCTCAAGTTAATGAGGGAAAATTTGTTGATGTTGTCATACTCTCGCCGAGAATCGAATCTGGGACCTTTTACTTTACGCGAATAAAAAGCTAAGACTGGTTGGACACGTACCTCCACTCCTTCCTATCCTGAGCTAATCTTCGCATTTCACTAAAACTTTCTGTTTCTGCCCCTATAATATGTCTCTGACTAGACCTTCATGCCTGAGAAGGTGTCCTACCAACCTATCTTGCCTATTTTTTATTGACTTCTATAGAGTCCTCTGTTCTACTATTCTTTCTAATACCTCGTCATTTCTAACCATCTCTACCCACGTCATCCTCATCATCCGCCTATAACACCACATTTCGAAGGCTTCTAACCTTCACTTCAAGAAAGATATTTTTTTAGTTTATATTCTACACATTCTGACATCGATAAGAGTAAACTCTTAATGTTTTTTAAGTCTACTTACTAGTATACAGCTAGATTCTTTATTAATATCAAAACATGCGGAGTCAGTTTAAGAAGGCGAGGTTCCTAACAAATTATTTATTTATTAGACTTTAGGAAACCAGTTTTAATACTTCGCGTATCTTGCAACAAATTCTATAATAGTTCTATAATACGCCCATAATTAAATAAAAACCGTAAGGAGCGCGATGCTTTATATACCTAAAGTAGTGGTTCCATCGCCTTCCGAAATTGACCCGAGTCCAGGATAAATTTCAAAAGAGACTAAGCGAATGTAAACTATTAAGAAAATATTACACGCAACCGTTTCACCTTGATGCGGTAAATGTTAAAGTTTCGACTTTAGTTTTGATTTTCGCCATTGCATGTGTGTTATAAAATTGAATTTCTTTGTTCCTTTCCTTTTCCAATTCAATAGACGGCCGAAAATCGCTTTTAAATTGCATTTTAAAATATACATTTAGGCCATGTGTGTGTCTCCAATATAAAAGGAGGCACATGCTACAATGAGTTCACGTCATATAAGGATATTTCGGCCGTTTTTGCAATATAGCAATCTCCGCCTCGATATTATATGTCATAGGGTCACAGTTGTTGGCATCAATTCCTTTAATATGTATTCTTGTATTATTTTTTTTTATTAAATCGCTTGGCAACGACAGCTGGTCTTCTTATTTCGCGCATATAACTTTGAAGGAATTAGTTCGTTGAATCGTTTAACTCCTCCACGTATATAATGGATACGAGTTCAAGATCTAGAGAAGTGGCTTGAAACAAAAACCGCTTTGAATTAAATCAAAACTCGAAAGAGTAAACTTGAAACTGCGACAAAAAATAATTTTAATACCTTTCAGAAACTTAACGGTAAAGACTACAAAAGAATATCTTCTTTGTTATGGAATGTGTAAACAATAACCTACACCAACTATAGAAATTTGCTACCTACTTAGTGTTTAGGTTGGACGCACGTTTGTATTCGANACAAAAATTTCTGCGATTTTACCTTAAATCGAGACAATCTGTGATCAATATTTGTTATTTTCGTAACCATTTTTTGTATTTGGTCTTAACGTATCACAATAAGAATTGATCAATTCCAGCGTAAGAAATGTAAATAAATGTCGAATTTCGATTTCAATTATTTGACGTCAAAAGTATGTCAATTGATGGTTTATGATAAGTTTTTCATCTTCTTTAAACACATTGAAGCTGCTTTTGGTTTTTTTTGACATACCTATGTTAATGTTAACATTCGCAAAATATGTTACTGTTGAAGTAATCATTACGATTTCGGTTAATGTTTAGAGTAAAATTAGTACCTATAGAGGTTTTAGAAGTTGCTGATTACGAATCTAGTATGTACTATAGATACATTTGAAGTTACGTAGATTTCGAGGGCCATCAAACGGGTGAAATATAGCGAGATTTTGGGGTCACTTTTTCATTTCTTGGTCGAGGGTGATGAAAAGTAGCATACGCACCAGGGGAGGAAATAAACATGCGGCCTGAGACATTATTTATTACTTTTCCTGTCCAGGTGCGTAATACACGTACCTACCTATCCTAATATTATCACGGAACTCAACAAGTCATGGAACTTAAAATCTACGACGATTTGGCTCACCCTTGACATATGTAAAATAAAATCTGACTAAATTGATGATTTCTAAGTTTAATGAGTAACAAATAATAATTTCAACTATTCGGTAATTCAAAAAAAAAATCATTACACTACGCACTATTCAAAATACAAAACTACCCATAATCTTTATGGAAAATTAGCTCAGGTATGATTGGCTTTAATTGGAGTATGACTCTGTATTATGAATTTCTGAGCAATAGATCTCATCAGGTATTCTCGCTATGTAGAAATGTTCAATACAGATGTTATTAGTTATAAAGTCGACTGAAAAAGACCTTAAATGAACCAAAAGCGAGCTGAGGTTGCCGGTTTTAATTGGTCAGGTCCAAGGTCATATCAAAAATGCCCTTGATTCTAAAGTGACCTTGAAGATGATTATCAAGATCACGGTGGAAGTTACTACTGCTTCTCATTAGACCCGCTATCTTTTGGATTGAACATCTCTACACATCTGAAGTTCATGAAGAGATACTCGATAGAATGTCGTACCAGTTCTAGATTACACAGCCAACAACTTTTGATTAGAAATTCAATAAGAACATCATACTACTCCAATTGCAGTCAATTTGACCAGAGTTGATTTTCCATAAGGATTGGTATGTATAAATTAGAGCTGGTTATTAGAAGCAGAAGCAGGTGTTAAGAGGAGTAGAGGTGGATTAGGTTCTGTTCACGAATAATTAAGGATGCAGGATGTTCTAGTTTTAGGGAAACGCGAATTTTAGCTCAGGATAGGAAAAAGTGGAAGTGCAAGTTCAACCAGTCTCATGATTGACGAGCCTAGGATGATAAATTTGATAAATATTGACGTACATAGAATGGAACTCCTACTCCAGCGAACAAAACTTAGGAAAATTATTTCGAAAAGGTAATAATGTACAGTAGGAACATAAACAATAATATAAAATAGCCATAACTACAGAAGGCGTACAAATTTCATTCAATTCAATTTGTCCTAATTTTGCCTTTGTGCGTCATTTCCGGAAAGTAGGTCGTCCTATATGTATACATATAGAACTGTTAGATATACGTAAGTATGAAAAAAAAAGTGAAAACGAAACAATCCGCCCAACGGCTTTTATTACTTGAGAAGCATTATATTGTCAAATGATCCGAGTTGGTCGTAGATGATAAATAAAGAGAGCGTGGTGCGTTGTCAACTCAACGCGCGCGGCCCGAATCGATACCCGTCCGTTTCGTTTGTCCTCCGTAGCCGAGTTCAGGAGCCGCGTTCAAGGACAAGGCCAAGCGCGCCACAAACGCCGCACGGTCGCGGTCGCGACTCATCATAACCGCGCTAACGCTCTCCCGTTCGCCACGCTGTGCTATCGTTCTCTTCGCTCGTTCGCCCAAACCTTCTCGTTTCGTTTCGGGTTGTCCGCGACGAAGTAATATCAGACAACGGACGAAACGGGGTTGCGACGATTAAGTGGTGCATATTGTGCCAGACAGACGGGTGCAGCGGCGCACGCGTACACCCCGCGCGCGCCCTTACAACCACCGTTGCACTTCGAATTTCACTTTCGTTCGGGCGCCAGCCAGTGCCATCGGCATCACAAGTATTCGGCAGCGACCAAACCGGTCACTGAACACTCTCACTGGCACACTTATTACAAGTCGCAGTCGACTAACTAATTTTAGTAGTGACTTCTCCTCCCACGCTAACTGCCTATAGTAACTTTTTTTTATCGAATTCCGACAAGCGGACGGGAGTCCTGTTGTCTGCCAGCTTTCGCGAAATGCTGGATTAACTGTGTCACTAGTCGAACTTCCTGTATTGAAATATTTACAAGATGCAAACGACTACGATTGTTTTGAAATCGGAATTTCGGGCGCCGCCACCGACGTCGTCGGTCGTGTCGTCGTCGACGTCTTCTCCGTCGGCTGTTATGAGACCACCCCCTCCCCCACCTCCCCCAAGGTCAAAATCGAACGAAATTAAAAGCGAACGTGTTACTCACGAAGAACCGACAAGTTCGATTCCTGATTTAGGTGAGTGATTATTATTTTACGATTCGTTGCTTTTTGAATATTACGTTATCAATATATGTGTACATTTATATAATAGAATTAATTACCTATTGTATTGTTTTGAATATTAATGTATAACTGTTTTCGGTGTTTGCGTGTTGTTTGTGGAAACATGCACGTCATCGAACTGTCAATGAATGCACTAGGACGGTTTTGTTTGTAAACAAACCGGACTGTGCCACTTATATACACGTATGTAGGAATATAAAACAGCAGGCGTGTAGTATGTAGCTGGCGAGTTCATTATTTAGAATTGCTCGGTATTACAATATTTTTTATGCACACTGCCATAATACGAAATCGCAATTGTTCTAATGAGGATAATAAAAATTGCCCGATAATTGAATGGAACAGTGAAGAAATAAAAAAAAACAAACAAACCACAAACAAAAAAGATAAAAGTAGAAATTCATGAAATATTGAACTTGAATATAAACGAGTACTAGGCACTGCGATTACGAAAATTGCCTCGATTACTTGATAAGATTATTATTCTCATCATTATTCTAAGGCTGTTTGTTTATTTATTGTAAAAAATTAGGTTGTTTTAGGATTTGCTAAAATTTACAAAAATTTTTAACACTAGCGAAATATGTTTTACATTTTACTAAATATTAATGTGAAAATTAATTTTTAATGTTTTACCCACCATAAACTACCTCAAGTTAATGAGGGAAAATTTGTTGCTGTTGTTACGCCCTCGCCGGGAAACGAACCCGCTGCCTTTGGCTTTACGCACCAAAGCTCTGACCATTAAACTACGACAGATGACAACAGAGTATTGGTGCGTAAAGCCAAAGGTCCCGGGTTCGACTCCAGGCGACAACAGGAATAAATTTTCCCTCATTAACCTAAGGTAGTTAGTTTACAGTGGGTAAAAAAATTGAAAATTAATTTTCACATTAATATTTGATATTAACCCTCATTAAGTGTAAAAGTGTTTCATATATATGTATATTTTACGGTGCTCAATTCACTTTTACTTCTTGTAATAAATGATTTCCCAATGTTACTATAGAAATGTTACTTAGACATCCTGATAAAGGAAACTGCTGTCCATCGTGTTATAACATATGCTTTTTGCACATGCATAAATAATAATAGTTGGTATTTTGACACATTTTACGTGTGAACTCATCTCTGTTTTTGTTTTCCTTTTTTAATTGTTCCGTAAACAATAACAACAAGACAGTGAACTAGCCATTATAAGAACTAAATATTTTTGTTTATAAACAAAACTGTTACTGGGTAATTGGATTACTTCGTTTCTTGTTACCTAATACAAAACATTCTCATATCCTTATGAACAATACTTATATATCAGTGTGTTCTTAAGCGCCTTTACGTCCACACATCATGTTACCCATTATCGTACAAGGATACGGCTGATAAGATGGAATGGAAACCGTTTACTTTTTTTTTTGTTATTAAATTAACCTTGAATACCATTAAAAACCATTTGCAATTGTTCCTCGTTATGAGAAGAGGTTATGTCCACACATCATGTTACCCATTATCGTACAAGGATACGGCTGATAAGATGGAATGGAAACCGTTTACTTTTTTTTTTGTTATTAAATTAACCTTGAATACCATTAAAAACCATTTGCAATTGTTCCTCGTTATGAGAAGAGGTTATGTTTCCATAACATTCCTGGACAGGTATAAATAGCCCTATCCTTGTTTTTGGAGATGGGTCTGTAAAGTCTAATAAGTCTTCAAACACTTGTGTTTCACAATTTTTTCTTATGAAAACTGCCTAACCAATTCGTTGTGAAGTTGATGAAAATTTGTTAAAAATTCTAATTCTTGTACCCGCTACAGATAATCTCAAATCGGTAAGCAAGCGTAAAACAACTGAGGGCCGGGTTCTATTCCCGACGAGGGACTGACAATTTTTTTTCATTAATTTAAGGTTATCTGTAGTGGGTAAAGGTTAATTCAAAAAATAAATTCACTAATGCATTGAATTTAACCATATAAAAATTCTAATTCTTGTACTGTTATAGGCGTATAATGAAGATATTGTGTATCGAAAAGGTTATACACGAAAAAATATTGAAAAGGGTAGATATGAAATTCGATAAGGAAAAAGGGAGATAAAATGGTAGGGCATCTGAGAAATGGAAGGCTAGACTTATGAGAAGCAGAAACAGGAGTAAAGAGAGATAGAGGAAGATCTACATTAGATTTCTATTCGCAAGTCCAAAAGTAGGGCACAATTAATCTTTAATAACTCATATTAAAAGCACATCATTTTTTGTCAAATCGTCGGCGAAGATGTTTGGCGTTATTGTATAAGTAGTTGGACAATCAAAAGTAGAATAATTTCATCACAACCGATGAAGCTTGGTTTTACACGGATATTTGTAATGGTTCATGGCAAAACAAGTCTCCATTTTGTAGACCCTGGTGTCAAAAACAATTCAGATAAATATTCAATAGTCTATTGAAGAAATTTTTGACCAGAGATGAGGCCAATGTTTGGCAAAGCAGTTGTTACTTTTGAATAAATTTGTGAAAAGTCTTGTTTTTATGGATCTAGGATATTCTAGTTTTCGGAAAATGCGAAGATTGGCTCATGATAGAAAGAAGTACGTAAAGGTGGACTTACGATAAAGATACTAATTTTTAAAACCGAAATGCTCAAAACAAGACCAGAATTAGCTGAGAATTCAATTTCTCTGAACTCAGTATGCTCATTCGTATGATTTTATGTCTATTTAGTTCCCACAAAAGACAAAAAGTAGATTTTAGGTTTACTTTACTTTAACACAACTTGAACCATCTTTTATATCTTCTTAATTAATGGCTCCATCCAGATTTATGTGTATAAGCAGCATATGCAATTTCACAGGGTCATTCATGTAATATGTCACACAACTTTCTAAATTTTTAACCCCCACAACGTCTGACCTGATATATTTTTATAGTACCCTTCTGAGCGAAGGCATGCGGTATAAAAACACTTTTATGCGGTTCTATATAAAAGGGGATATAAAAAAATTAGAGATGGATCGAGTACCCGGTTTGGATCTGGATAAGTGTTTAAACGACTTTTTGAACGAAACTTAGGTTGGGTGCAAATTGAACCCAGTCCACGTACATCACACGCATAGCGCACGTTTGGTCAAAACCCAGTCCAGGTACACATTTTACTGAGGTAGCGCAAATTGGACACAGCCCAGACCCAAATTATTTCCTCGATGACATGAAACAGCAACTACTTCTCGATGTGGAATCTGAACGAAAAAACAATTATTTTACTACATTTACTCAGTTGAAAAAGAAAGAAACATAAAGTAAATGTATATTTACGAAAATGAGAGTGTCATGGAGAGTTTAAGTTATCGAAAGAAGTTCTCGACAGAGTATTTAAAAGGTCGTTTCGATTAAATAGAAGAGTTTAATGAAGTTTATCGATTAATTAAACAGGATATTACTGGTTGGGAATACAATGCACAACAACATTTTGGAAATAAAGAAAACTAGCCGTATGTCCATTTTAAAAATTATACGCTTTATAACATATTACAACAAATTACACAACCAACAACCCACGAAAATTGCGTTTGCAACATAGGATTGCACACGTGAAAATCAGAGACTGTGCTCGGCGTGGAATGAGTTCAATATGCGCAACCCTCTCTATAACTGTGCTTCACAGAATTGTCTATGGGCTATGCCTGTGCTGTGAACGACTGGGTTCAATTTGCGCCGGGCCTAAGGCGTAGCATATGTTGTGAACCCATTTCACGCCGAGTGACTAGTGGGTATAATATAGCGTATAATTTTTAAAATGGACATACGGCTAGTTTTCCTTATTTCCAAAAGGTTATTGCGAATTGTACTCTCCACCAGTAATATCCTGTTTAATTAATTGACGAACTTCATTAAACTGCCTTCTATTCAATCGAAATGACCCTTTAAATACTCTGTCTGGAACTTCTTTCGATAACTTAAACTCTCCATGTCGCTCTCATTTTCGTAAATATGCATTTACTTTAATTTTCTTTCTTTTTCAATTGAGTAAATGCAGTAAAATAATTATTTGTTCGTTCAGATTCCACATCGAGAAGTGGTTGCTGTTTTGCTGTCATCGTGGAAATAATTTAGGTCTGGACTAGGTTCAATTTGCGCTATCTAAGAAAAACGTGTACATGGGCTGGGTCTTGAACAAACGTGAGCTATGCCTTTGCAGTGCACGGACTGGGTTCAATTTGCGCCGGGTCTTAATGTGGTTTGGGACGTGGGTGATGGTGGTTTTTTATGTAAAGCCCGTCAGAACGAAAACATGAACCATTGACCGTAGTGGTCTTGCCGGATATCCGGTCGGGTTATTCGGTATCTGACAAAACCACTATCCGGTGCCTCTCTAAAAAAAATACAACATTGGCGAATTAACCATTTCAACATTACCGAAAATTTCAGTAATTGGAAATCTAAAAAAGTGGAACATTTATTAGGACTTTTTATTACAGCTCAAGACTAGGTTAACTGATTGTCAAAGGATTATTATTATCCAAAAGTTATTTGGATTTTTATTCAGATAATACAGCAGGCTTCTCGTGTAGCGAGTTAGAAAAACTTTCCGAATGAGTTTTCCACCTTCTTTTTAAAGATAAATTTTTGTCCTATAGATAGAAATTAGAATAAATTTCTCTCATTTAAAATTAAATCGCCAAAGACGAAGGGTACTTGTTTAGACAACAGTAAACGGTCTATTTTTAAAACGGCAATTTAATGTTTTAATGTACCTAGACGTATGTACATACATAGGTACGCAGGCACGTGAATACTGTGTATGGATATACAAATACACGTATATGTAACACAGCATGCGTTTATTTTTAGGGATAATTAAACAACTGTCCGTTCGCGTGCGTCTGCCTACATACTCGTAAACCTACAGCGGAAATTTTGTTTATTGGATATTAATGCTCCTTTGCCTTTGCCACGAT